CTTTTTGTTGGACCACAAGAACACAGGCCTCCGCGCCTTGGTTCGTTTCTCAGTGGAAACACAGAGTCAGAATCTTGAAAGCAAGCAAATCTTGATACTCCTGCCTGAGACTTGCGATCTCTGGCTGGTGTAGTCCCTGTGTGGTTCATTGGGTAAGATGAATCATACATCATCAACATGAGCATGTCAGAAGGGACCGGACTGAACATGCATCATACGACTAGGATCAGTACACACGTACCTAGTCTACGCATTGATCATTATGATTATGCATTGATTGCGCATTGAGTGGGCATTGGGAGTAGCACTCATGATCATCGACATTCGTATCTTGTGAGATCATCCCGATGACAGTCGAACACGAGGCTTTGTGTGAGCCACTGAGAACAGAACGCCACGACATCCGAGAGGCTTGAGCCATACATGACCAACACTTTTATTTACTCTAAAAATATTGACTACATGCTTACTCATCATCCTAGGTTCATCCCACCAAGCAAAATATATACTACATCCCTACTCATCAAAGTCAGAGTATCGTAGCAGCTAGCACTTTGAAAGCTGTTGATGAGATGCTGGTGCTGGCAGAAGTTAGTCTTATTTCCTTGTACCAGTGGAACTTGAAGACAATGGTTTTGACAATGAAAAATATTTCAGTCCCTGCAGACGTCGTTGATCGATGAAGATTTGGAGAATTTTGCTACCAAACATGCAGAAAAGAAGCAAGAAACTGCAGAGCCGGTTTCTTAAGGCCTTTTTGTGTTTTTTTTGTGAAACTCAAACTTTTACATCATTCAGTATCTGTGCTACCCTATCCTTTATCTACATTCAACATTTCTTTTACTTTTCCTAGTTAGATTGGCCCCACCCATATGATCATTCTTCTTCTACTCTAGATCTAGAAGTGTTTGCGTTGCTTCTAATTCTTACAACGTCTATCGGATCTGCCTGTTGTCAGCAGAGCAAGTGCGGCAATGGCTATACTCAGTGCCTTGGACTATATGTCGCGGGCCATAGCGGAATTGCGTGAGAGACGTGTGAAGGAAACTATTGCACGTATTTTCTACCCTGGACTTTTGACTTATGGACTAGCCTCTTCGGGAGTAGAAGGACAACAATTAAGGGTTTCCAAATTGCATCCCCCACTACCATCCCTGACCTATTATGTTGTAGTAGAAAAAAAGGCCAGGGATGTTCTGAGGAATGTTGTAATTCTCCAACCTCTAAAGCAAGAGGGCCAGCATGTGAAAGCTAATTTGCGAAATAAAGTGGTTTCAGGAACACGCTTGCGCGACTTGAAATGGCTTCCAGCTCAGTCCGAAGAAAAGAAGCAAAGTTTAGAGGTTCAGTTGTCCGTGGTTGCACCGTTAATTGAAGATAGAGTCACGACGCGTTTGAACCGTCCTAAAGTTAAGGGTTTCCACATTACATCCCTCACTAACATCTCTGACTCTTTTCCAAGTAAGAAATATGGCAGGGGTGTCCCGAGGAATGTAAGCCCATAAGCTCTAATAAAGAGCTAGGTTTTTTCGATCCTTATTGGGTTGGACCAGCCCAGGAGGAGAAACACGTGTGGCTTTGGCCTATGATTTCGAATTCGAAGGAGGAGAAAACTGCACATCAGGCTTTCGATCTTAAGGGAGCTTATTTTTACAGTTGAAACTCATCTTGAGTTTGAGAAGCATCTTTGACTTTGACACGCCTGGGAAGCGGCATGAGAAAGCACGTCAAAGATGCAACTTGTTGTCACGATGTATGAACAATGTAATAAGCACATAGAGAAAAAAATTGATCCCGTAGGGTAAAAATTAAATGTTCGTAGTGCGGGAAATTGTAGATACAGGGAACAAAGAGAAAAAACTCCTCAGGGTGGGGCACATGGTCATGAGGGAATGAATATTCATCCTAGATTAGCCCCTCGAATCAATAAGGAAGGTCCTCGTCTAAAGGTCCTCTGAGCGTGTTTGGTACGAAAGACCGATGGGGGGATTTGGAGAAGCATGAAGAGATGCCTGCGAAATTCAAAAAAGCGCCAGTTCGACCATTGGAAGCCACTTTTGTACCGAACAAAAGTCTGAAAGAATGGCAGTCTCTTCCAGTTAAGGTCACTCAGCTTTTAAGTGTCCATCTTTCTCTTTCTCGGGGGCATCTTCGAGCCGCCTTGTCCCAGTCCATACGGACCGTGAAGATGGACATATTTTGTTGTTTGAGAAAATATATGGATCTTGGTCTTCTTCAGTCTCAATCACAGTAAAGGCTGCCCGCTCTTCTAATCTAGGGGGAAACGAGCCGCGGCAGAGAAGTACGATCACCTTCAAGCTATCGCCAGCTATGAAGGGAAAGATAGCAGAATTCCGGAGTAAGTTAAGGATCCTCTTGATCCATCTCTATAGGGATCCCTCCACCGTGTGCGCCCCAATACTTACAAGGGGAATACGTACTTAAGCATAAGTATCTCTCTTGAGGGATTTCCACAGGGATGCTGAATTCGGGAGAGGTCTAAGTACGGCAGAGGCAGAGCAAGTGTCCTGGGCTGTGCTGCCACGGGAAGCCTATGACGAATATCAGAAGTTCCAAACCGTATTGCAGTACTTAAGGCTCCTACCGTTGAAGCATCTTCCTTTTTAGCACCTGCTTATCCTGGTCAGACAGCACCATCTTTGGCCTCCTTTTCAGCGGAAACGTAATCCTACTGATGGGCAGGATGTACTTCGCCAGACCCAGACCCGTGAGGTGAAAAGGGGCTAAGGGATGGGCTGCTCAGGGAAGATGCGACACGTCAGCAAGCTCCTCTAATATATATCAAAGACGCGAAAGGAATTACAGATACTGTTGAAGCGGAACTGTGGCAGCAAGTGCAGGAGTTTCACACAGCAGAAAGTGGGACGAAACAAGTAGAACTTCTAAAAGCTGCGACAGCAACTCCTCTGGTAATAAAAGCACCTCCGGGAGTGGAAGCACCTCCGGGATTGGAAGCACCTCCGGGATTGGAGGGGCCACGACGTCCTGCACAGCCTGCAACTACAGGCTTCATGGGTAAACGCAAACGCAGTAAAAATACAGAGACAGCACCAGAAGCAGACGGAATTACAGGCCCTGATGGAAAGGGAACAGTCGCTGAAGGAAAGGGAACGAAAGGAGATGTTAAAAGAAAAGCTGGCGGTAAAGGAACTGGAGGTGGTAAAGGAAAAGGAGGCGCTAAAGGTGAAGGAAAAGGAGGTGAGATGAATGACTCCGTTTCTATTACGCTCAAGTCAATCTATGCCTCTGCTGCCTTTGTTGGCGGTTTTCCCAGGACGTTAGAAATCGAAGGCTCTGCTGAAGGACGAACAGGATTATCATCTGCGCTTGCTGCCAGCAGTTCCCCCTCCGCCACTATGCGTAGAAATGAAATACAAGAAACTACTTCTAGTAGGGCTGCCTCGTCTACCCTGCGCCGCCTTGCCCAGTTGGTGAAGCCTAAATTTTCCTTTGATGTCGGTAAGCGCTTGCGCTGGGCTGGGATCCCACGATTACTTCTTGAGGCTGCTGCGTATATTCCTCCAGAGCGTCTGAATGAGGTTTGGAAAAGTTTCAAAGCTAGAAGCGAAGCATGGAAAGCCAGAATGGAAACAGTATGGAAAACGACACGAGCAGATGCTAAATCTCCTAAAGATGCTGAAGAAACTGTTGAAACTGGGGCTGCGTTGGATCGGCGTTTGAATGGCTGGTCTGCACTGCAGTTACAGGTCGCGGAGGCAGAAGGTTGTGCTGTGGTTGGTGTGCAGCACTGTGCAGCTGGTGAAAATTCTGAAGGTGTCCATGTCCAAGGAGCTGGCAATCCACCTGAAGGTGTCCATGTCCAAGGAGCTGCTTGTGGTTCACCAGCGGGCAAATCGTCTACGCGTACCCTGAATGAAGGTCAGCGTCTTGCAGTCCAGAACGCACGTGACGTTCCGTTTTCTCTAGTCCTTGGGCCACCCGGAACCGGAAAGTCGACTACGTTGGCCGTAATGATTGGCGCACTGGTGGACAACGCTAGAAAGTCTGCGCAAAGTGTGCTTCCGAGTATGGTAAAATTAAGACTTCCGGAAACACATCCTCAGAAGCACCTTGGACCTCCTGTGTAAAGGCCTCCTGTGTAAAGGAGGAAAGGGTCCAAGATGAGTTTCTAGATGGATTCCGGGACGAAGGTCTAAGGAAAGCTGTGGATACGAAGCTGCTTCTGGGAGATAATGCTGCTTCCGGACCGGAAAACCGGTTGGCTCCTCTGTCGAAACTTCTTTCTGCCCAAAACACGGAAAGTACAAGTAAAAATATTGAGGCAGCTAGAGATGCATGGTTGGAAGAGTTTTGGCAGCTTCCAGAGATGGACAAGGCCAGACTTGTCCCTGGAATTTTTAGAATGCTGTCGAAAGGGAAATCCTACGACACTTTAAGCGGTGAGGGCGAGAAAGAGCAAGTCGTGGAGAACGTCCTTGTCCCTCATTTGGAGAAAACGTTTCTCGCTCCTCTAGGACAAAAACACTCTTCATCAAGGAAGTCTTCTGCTTCTCGTTCTTCTTCCACAACTACACCGTTCTTGACAGGATTGAATTTTTTGCCTCATAATGGGCCGACCGCACTGGTGGCTGCACACAGCAATACCGCAGTCGATAACATGTTCGAAGCTGTTCGGAAACGCTATGTTGACGTTAATGGCACAGGCAAGACGCGCATGCTTCGTTTACTCCGTCTCGGGTCAGAGAAGAATGAAAAAATCAACATCGGCGTGACGGGAGAGTATCAGTTGTCAACATTAGCTGCCCGCTTGGCTAAAGCCGCATACGCTGTGTGTTATAAGAAGACCATTACGTTGACGGGAGAACGAGGACAAGGATCGCAAAAAGGATCTTCTTGGTTAGCAGAGAACCACGACCAGTGGTCTCAGCTGGCAAAGCCGCCAGAAAGTGCATCAGCACTGGAAAGGTGTTTTTCTCGAATTGATTTCAGCGACCTAATTGTCGATGCTTTGTGGTACGGTGAAACTTGGCTTCGGTCGGTAGCAAGTTCCGAGAAATATCTTGCGGTTTCCTTGGTTTCTGCTACCCAACGAGGAACGGGTGAACCAATCATGAATTTGCTGCTTCAGGAGGATAATTCTGACATCTTCACGGCCTTCTTCGGTGATGAAACCTCTTTTGGAGATCTTCCCCGCTGGTGGTTCGAGATGGACTTTTCCGAGGATTAAGGCGCAATACATTTCTTCATTTCCAAGGGTCACATTTCCCTCTGTTCCCTTCTTGGGAGTCAGAAGAAGCGAGGTGAAGGAATGAATTCTTTTGAGCTCTAAGAAGAGGAGGAGGACAATGGGAGAGACACACTCGCTGGTGCACCAAGCTGGGTCAAGAAAAGGACGAACTTGTTGAGGGAGCTTGTTTTCGAACGTGCAGAGTTAAGGCCTCACTTACTCACTCACTTACTTACTTACTTACTTACTTACTTACTTACTAACTTACTTACTTAATCCATTGCTTTTGCTATTATTGACTTCATCTGCAGTGAGCTGTGAACTGCTTTCTTCAAGTAGAAAAAAAAAGTAGATGAAGCAAGATATGGACTGTAGTGCTGAGTTCTAATAGAGGTCGCTTTTTCGACACTGGGTTCCCTGTCGCGGTACGTGAATAACCAACACAAGTTCACGAGCGTCTTGTTGGATGAAGCCAGCCAAGTGTCTTACACCGATTTTCTGCTTCTCCTCGGGCTTCTAGATACTGAAGTCGTGCCTGGTCCTCTGGGAAGCCCTGAAACTACACCTGGTCTAGGAGGTTCTCTAGGAAGAACGTCTGCCAGAAGCTTCGAAGATGATCTCTTAATCTCCAGAGATTTCAACCTCAATGCACGGTTGGTCTTAGTGGGTGACAATCGGCAGCTGCCACCATGCAGAAAAGACGCAGAAGAAGCCGATCGCGACGCGCGCGATCGAGATATGAGTCCTCCCAAACTGCAGTTTCGCTACGCACTCCAAAAAGCATCAACCGCTGCCGTTGGTGCTACCCTTTATGTCTTTTAGAGAAGCTGCTGGATTCCTCGTTTCCTACTGATCTGTCCACGTTTCGCCCCTTAATTTTTTCAAGGGAAACCTTAGCTACCACGACAGATCAAGAAACGGCAGAAGTAGACCCAGTAATTTTCAATTGTAAGTAACCATTCATACTCACAGCAATACTTGTCCGGTCATGAATCTTCAGGAGCTGCTCTTGACAGAAGGGATGAAGGATTTGAGCATATCAATATCTTCTAGAAGTCACGTGGATTCGCAGTTGAACGCGTCCGGGAGTGTTTTTGATTCTCTAGAACGTGTCTACTTAAGGCTAGTTTTTCACTATCATCACTCGTGCCAATCATCTTCATTGAAAATGTGCTGGGCTACTATGGTGCTGAGTGAGAGTGGCGCCCGCCTTGTGATTTAAAGAAAAGTAGGCCAGCGTGCCACGCAGGGCATCTTCCCACTTGACTCAGCACAACTATAGTGAAAAAGTCCGGCGTCGCGCTAATTTACAGCCAAGTTCCTCTGACAGAAGGAGGATTTGCCATGTTGCAGGAGACGCATCGATTGACGGAAAAAGTGGTCAAGTTCGCATCGGAGAAGTTCTACGAAAAGAAGCTCACATTAAGGTTTTCCACATTTTTGCATTCCTCACTGGTGCCATCCTTCACTTGTTTTCCAAAAAAAACGTCAAGGATGCTCTGAGGAATGCAATCATGTCGCAACCTCTAATCACAAGTGGGGTGAGGGAAGAAGATCCTGCACATATGCCACTGCCCATCTTCGCGAAGGACCTAGTAGAGAGGAGATCTTCTCCTTCTCTTCGGGAGAATTCGCTTTCTGTTCTTTTTGTGAGTACACTTAAGGCTTACAGTAGTTCATCTCAAGGGCTAGCATCTCTTTCTCGGACCCCTTTTATTAGTTGTAAGTAAGGGGAACACGCGTCAGAGATACTTTCCCAGATCTGCAGGACTAAAAAAAGGTGGAGGCCTTCTCATCTTTCTTGATCTTCCTGCTTAGGGTCTATGTCTAATACACGTTATATCACGGATGACGCTGTCGCTGCCGATGGTGAGGGTATGCCATTCTACAAGACTAAGAGTGCAGTGTCGGTTGTCGGACGACATCCGAAGGTCCCGACATGGCGCAAAATGGGTCTCAAGGAGCAGAACGTGCTAGGGGTGGTAACCCAGCATGTGAATGGAAGTAACCCAACAGCAAGTAGTCCAGAGCAACGGGAATTGCGGAAACGCCGAATCGACAGAGAAATGAGCTACGCGACAGCGCGCGCTCCCACAGATGCGGATAGTTAAGGCTTCCCTTAACCCATGTTCAGACAGATGCGCCCTGGAGACTATATTATCTGTAATGTTTTCACTCAATCGAGGAAGGAAACGGAAAAATTTTGGTTCAAACCTTCTCATTTTGGTCTTGTCGGGAAGATGCTGGTCTTCAAGTACTTACTCGAAACCTTGAAATAAGCGAGTCACAAAAACAAAAGCCGAGTATCTGAGATTATTCCCTAGCGCACTCGGTTACACTTCATCAGTTTTTCGAGTAAATAGATGGGTAACTTCTATGCAAGGGTGGTAAATAGATGGGTAACTTCTATGTAAGGGTGGTAAAGAGATGGGTAACTTCTATATACCATGGGTAACTAAGTAGATGGGTAACTACTATGTAAGGGTGTGCCTCGCTTGTCTGAGCTCTAAGGTAGACTGAGAAAAGCCTCGTCGAGCAGTAGGATTAACATGTTAGAAGCGGACATTGTGGTAGACGTGGTGCGACGGCTTCTGGAGCACATGAAATCGGCGGCTACCAAAAACGTCACAGTCGGAGTTATCAGCTACTACGCGGCACAAGTGCAACTCCTAAACCAACGGATCGATGAGATATTTGGACCTGACGCGCAGACTTATGATTGAAGACGTTGGAACAATAAGGTTGAATTTATCAAATTATTTGTTGATTACTACATCTTCGACTGTAAGCCTCCTGGCACTTATCTCACGCTTATAATCCGTTATTTGTTCTTGACTACAGGTAGAAAACGAAAAGACTCAACAAGTGGTCGTTCTGCTAAGAAAGGTATTAAAGTAAAACTTAAACCAGTGGAAAAGGATGAAAGATCCACCTTCTCTAATACCACCATGATGCGAGTATGGCGAGCGCGCATGGGCTGAAAATTGAGGTGAACACAGTGGACGCTTTTCAAGGTCGGGAGAAAGACGTCGTGATCGTCTCCACTGTGGTTTCCGAGGCGAAAAATCAAAAAAACCCTATGGCTGTTCGCTCTATATTCTAGCGAAGGTCCTCTTCTATATCGAGGAATCTTTTTTCTCAAGCAGATTTTGAAGGCAGTTGTTACATCCTTCACCACCTCTAATACATCAAAGCAATCTTTCGTTGGTGACCCGAATCGATTTGTGGTGGCAACGACCCGCTCTTTGCGAAATTTGGTAGTCGTAGGAGATCCAGATGCTTTGATGAGCAACGAAACAACCGTGTGGAAAGAATGGCTCAAGCACGATGTGTAACTAGGGAGAATAGCTTGAGCATGTGTGACTAGAGGAGTAGTGCAAACAGCCGCTGTATGGAAAGAATCCCTTCAGCATAAGTAGTAAAGAAGTGCATGACTATGCAGCTGTACTTAGCACAGTCATGCAACAGATCGAGATCGTTCGGAAGGAGCCTCTAGGCTATTGCAATGATGAAAGAAACAGAATTGCTTCCAACGGTTGTATCTAGTGAATTGCTTCCAACCGTTGTATCTAATGAGTTGCTTCCAACGGTTGCATCTAATGAATTGCTTCCAACGGTTGTATCTAATTAGCAATTGCTTCCGACGGCAGGAATAAAGTATCGAGGAATGAACCACAATGAATGGCTTGTTCTTCGTTTATGGTTGCTCTTTCTGGTATGGAGGCGGAAGAACGGGATTATAGATAGAGATCCAGAAGATATTGCATAATGAAGACTTGAAACGAGTAGATTCACATCATCAATTTGAAACGGCTAGGGTAGCTCTTATTTCAGGTAGTTTTTTTTTCTGGAATAGCCTGCTTAGATAGATAGTGCGTGTGATGTTAACCCATAGCATACTTAGATAGATAGTGCGTGTGATGTTAACTCATAGCCTACTTAGATAGATAGTGCGTGTGATGTTAACCCATAGCATACTTAGATAGATAGTGCGTGTGATGTTAACCCGTAGCCTACTTAGATAGATAGTGCGTGTGTTGTTAACCCCTGAAAGAATGTTGCGGGTCAAGGTCAACGACTCAGACTCTATTGGGAGGTGGGGCAAGAGGAGAGGTTGCACACGCATAAGTACCCCGTATTCATCAACATGCGTTGCACTTTCAAAAATTTAGAAGGAGAATGGTGATGATGAATGGTGAATCAATTAATTAAAACATGTACATGTTGCAGATGTACATGAACGCCAAGAAATGCTAGTACTACCTTCATCTGAAAGAATATGGAGGCTATTGAGAAGTTCGACCACAAATACTATTACTAGTACTGCGGTCAATGCCAACATGACTAGTACCACGTTCATCCTAGAGACGGGTTCTTTTATCTGAAGGTTGCGAATATCAATATCTTGGAGTTTGATCACCTCAAGCTCAAGGACTAACCTAACATCACGACGATGCGCTGTTGTTGTATCATCTCAAGGACTAACCTAACATCACGACGATACGCTGTTGTTGTATCATCTCAAGGACTAACCTAACATCACGACGATACGCTGTTGTTGTATCATATCAAGGACTAACCTAACATCACGACGATACGCTGTTGTTGTTGTTCCTCGCCCCCTCGGGTGCGAAGAACAGCGCCACTATCGTGCGCCAGGTTTGTATGAGTACCTAGAGAAAGGCAAATCTAAATGCGGTATAAATACGTAACATGCAGGACAAGATGAAAGGTAAACAATAACTTTTTTCCGAAAATGATTGAAAATTATCTGTTGTTTTCCTTAGAAGACAAACAATTGATTAGCTCGAACCACGGTTCGTGGCACAACTAGCCTGAACGATGGATCATCTTCAAAGTGTCTGTTCTCTTTGGAGATCGTTTAGGCGTGTCACATTGAGTAAGTAAGTAGTCTGTTCATCGATCTACGCGTCTATAGTCCAGCATTGCAAGGACGGCGCAGCCGTTCGTTTATGCTGGTTTGAGCGGGATGAAACTAGACTAGAGGGAACATCGTCGGCCAGTCGGTCTCCGCTTCACTTGGGGGCTGCGCATCCTACACGCAGCACCATCGTCATCCGATAGTGTTTCGCTTCGCTATCACGTCTCTTCTCTTTCTCTTCTCTTTCTCTTCTCTATCACCATCTCTTCGTTTTTCACCCCTCCTTCCCTCCCTGACTTGGGCACCTCTCACTTCGCGGGCATTCGCGGTGGTCTTGCCGCGGAACTGGACCGTTGCCCAAAACCGCCGTAGCGGTTGCCTTTCTCCTTCTCACTCTCACCATTCACCATGAGTCCTCACTTCACACTACTGCTCACTCGCCCCGTCGGATGTTCTCGTGCTGCAATTGGCAACGTCCATTTTTTCGCACTCGGGGCTTGTGGGCTCGTCTGAAGTGCTGGCCTGCAGGGAAGGCATGCCACGCTCGTCAAGCTGTTCCTCTCATTATCCATCTCGGTCGAATCTAAATCTTAAGTTCATGCTCCTTGAATCCTAAATCTTGAGTTCTCTTTCAATCTGAACTAGTTCTGCTCTTCGAGTCTGAATGTCTGATGCGCGGAAGTGCTCTCAAGTATAAAAGATTGCTCCTTTTGATGCTGTTTAAGTGTGCCGCCTCCCATGATGCTGTTTAAGCGTGCTTGGTTGCAGCTGTCAACAATACCAAAGATAGCAATCGTTTAAGTGTGCTTGATTGCAGCTGTCGACAAATTGCACTGCATGTAGAGGGAGCTATCGGCCAGCGAGTTCGTAAACGTAAAGGAACTCAAATTCAATTTATGCCGATCCGGTGCTCAATGCGCAGGGCTGAGGCAGGAGCCCATCTGAATCTGAATCAACAATACCAAATCTTCTACTCCGTCTCTCCATGAATGCCACCAGGACCCTGTTAGCTTTTGTTTGCAGGTGATATTCGTGAGCCGTACACAATCGCTCGCATCAATCTTTAAACACTTAGACTTTTCAAGTAGAACTGTTCCTTTTCACTCATCTTTAGTGACGTGTCTTCCTTTAATCAATCTAATTCCTTTGTTCTTGATGTCTAGAGCCGTTTGAACATTCTTCTAACAGAAGTGGCAATCAAGCAAGTTAGTATAAGAAGTCTAAATACTCTTCTACCTCTAAAACTTAGGCTTATCCCATGCAGCAATAAATAAGAAGTCCGCAAAGCTGCATCAGGACCATAAGAAAAGATGTTTTCCTTCACCTTCGCTCGTACCCTTTTCCCCTTTCTTCTGGGGTTATCCTCTTTTGCGGTTCCTCCGGTCTCTGGAGCTAGAGTTTTTCTTCCAGGATCATGGAGAGGTGTCTCCAGAACCAGCTGTGAACCGCCTCATGAAGATGACGATGTGCTCCGAGTTTCAGTCACCGGAGCATCCGGAGTGTTGCTTGACAGCGAAACGTTTTCCATAGAAACAAGTACTGTTAAGGGTTGAAGCGTTTCATGTTTGTAAGTACGCTCTATTAAATGTTGACGCATTCATTTTTTCAAGGGGACGAAACAAGTACTTAATAATACAAATTATTTGTAAGTAGAGCGAGGACCACAAACACAATTTAAGAAATATGAATTCATTGTTTCTGGAACAACCTTTAATGCTGTTGGAGACGTTGTAAGTGTGTTGAAAGAAAAGCACCCAAGAAGTGTGCTATCGCGTTCTGCGGTGGACGTTGACTTTGGAGTGCCGTTCACATCTTGTTCGGCACACCAGAATCATGATTACCAACAGTTGGTATATGGAACTTGGGTATTTTAAGGGTTTCCGAATTGCATTCCTCACTCACTACTCTCCGTGACTCTTTTCCTAGTAGAAAAGAGGCCACAAATTGTGTGCTGAAGAGTGTAAAAATTCCGTAACCTCTAAGCATTGCATTGGAACAATGGAAAAGTACTGGAAAACCCTTCGCTGCCACTTCAATGGCTGCTTCTACAAGAGGAAGAGGATTCGTCTGCGTGTAGTCAAGCACGACAAGAACCCCGAGTACGACAAGGTCGACACCTGCACTTAAGTGCAATAGCACAGTCACGTCCAGTTCTGTTCCGTCCATGGACAGCAGTGTCTCTACCGCGATTGCGGAAGCCCGTGGAGATGCTTCCTCCGACAGGCCAGTTGCTCTTGGATCTTGACCTCACGGCTGTGGAGGCTGAGGTGGAGAAAGAAACGATGGCCAAGAGCAGGTTTTGTAGTACCAGAGTAGGAGATGAGGAGGCAAGGATGGATATGGAAGGTAGTGGTCCGTCAGAAGGTGCTGGTCCGTCAGAAGGTGCTAGTCCTATAACTAGTGAGCATGATCTTCAAGATGTGGAAACAGAGCAAGTTTCGCGAAAAATGCGAAAACTACGTGTGCAAGACGACTCCGCTAGGCCGTCGAAGGACGATCGAATAGCCGAACACATAGAAAATCAGTTAGCACGTCGTGGTTTGTGGTTCAATCACTCAGATTTGCCACAAGAAGTGCAGAGTCTTTTGTCCAGATTGATCGCGTACGCTAGGGCACCTGGCCAGACAGCAGGGACTCTAAAACAGCAGCTTGAGCAAGAGATGAAGGATGAGGCTGCTGTTTTGTTAAGGCATGTAGTAACTGTACATGTTTTGCTTTTGACTTTGTAACTATGTAAGTACATGATTTTTTTCATATACTTAGTTTGTTACATGATTTTTTTCACATTGACATCAACCTAGCACCTGCACGTTCCTCGTAGGACCTCGAAAAAATACATCCCTCAAACTCCCTGCCTTTCTCTACCTAGAAAGGGAAGATCTAATGCGAGGCGAGCTTCCGTGGTTCCTGGACGACCGCTTTGTCGGTGATACGGTTTTACAGCCACAGAGTGTCAAAGCCGTAAGACGAATGGAACGACAGACATCCGATGACCTCGTACTAACGTCGCCATCTGCGTCTGCGGCCAGTGCCGAGGAAGAGCAGATGCAACTAGTGCAAGGACGTGAAGAGGAACAAGTGCTAGGACCCCCTTCGCCTACTACGCCTGCTAAAATGCGAAACAGGTACGAAGAAAAGGCATCCACGACCGCATCTCCGACTTCTTCAGATCATGGTGCTGCCTCTACAGCGTCTCCGGCGTCCATGTGGTCGAGCGGGAGTTCATCCTCGTTATCTTCCATGATGTCCAAGAGTTCGTCCTCCCACGAGTTCATGGTAAGGAGTGGTAGTGGTGGAGCTCTGTTGAGCAGTACTCCAGACGTACCACAGGAAGACCAGGCTGAAGAAGGAGAGGAAGAGGATCAAGAAGGTCCACAATCATCTTCGGACGTTGAGATGTTGAGGTCTACTGTCCGCCGAAGCCACTCAGCCAAGACGTCTCCCGTACTCGAAGCAGCGAAGTCTCCCGTACTCCAAGCAGCGAAGTCTCCCGTACTGCAAGCAGCGCAAATTCCATCGCTTGGCTTGCTACAAATGTGGAGGGAAGAGAACCGTTATAAGTATGTAAAAGCACGAGTCGACAATCTAGCGCAAATCAATGAATATCACGAGGAGGAAATTGGGAGTGGACGTCTTGATGAACAAACTACTGGTGGAATCTTAGGCGGTGCTGGTAGTGCTGCATCAAGAACATCAACTACTAGTCCTACTAGTAGTACATCACCACTGTTGACACCATCCTTGTTGAGCGGACCAAGACCAACCAGTAGAATGGCGCTTCCACATCCACCTAGATCTACAACTGCTTCCCGCTCTACAATTTTACTCGGAAAAATGGGAGCCGCGGTGTGGCACCGACTTTTAAAGGACGTGAATAGCATCCGCGTTGTAGTGAAACACAACTTTTTCGAGAGTTATTTGGATCGCTCGGTAGAACTCCGCGTCATCTTGTGCGAAGACCGGACGCGGCCTGCGAGACAGCTACTAAAGGACGCCTTACATGAAACAAATGACCATCTTTTTGAGTCTAGAGGCGAGTATGCTAGGAGTCTAAGAGAACAGGTTCAGCGTACTGCGCAACAAGCAAAGTTTGACTACTGCGTTACTATGTCTTTCCAGTTCGCTGAGAATAGGACGAGGAGAGGACAAGCCGATGAGGAGGATGATCATGAAGCACTTCTAGAAGAAGGAGAGCACGAGGATCAACATGAAGTGTTGAGGCGTCGAGAGGATGGAAGTGAAACTGCATCATCTCCTGAAGATGACCGTACCCTCATCGCTGAGCGTCCATTCATACTTCGTTCGATTGTCATCAGAGCCCGAGCTGGTTATTGGGGTGACGCCTACGGTGACCCGGCTGAGGAGGAAGGAAGTTTAGAGGACGTACGAGATCAGGACACTGTTGGGTTGATCAATTTTCGGCATGGTGGTCGTACCAGTTCCCCTTTCGGTCACCACGCAAAGGATATACCTAGAATCAACATCGCAAAATTGGGTATCTTCGCCATGAAGGCGCCAACTCTACTGCGTGACTTGTTTCCAAGCATGATGAGCAGCATGCGGCGCGTGCATCCGGTGATTTTTGGTGATAGAATCAGGACACGACGACCCATGTTGAACATGATCGTCCCCCAACAACAAGAAGGAGGAGGTCAAGAAGATTCGAATTCGTATCGAGGAGCATTACTGATGCGTGATGAAGAACAAGAGGATCCCGCTCCCGCGACTGCGAGAACCTGTGGTGGTTCATCTTCATCATCCTTGCCCTGCACGAAAACTGTGCTCCAGGATTTCAAATTGTTTGCAAAACGCTGTCCAGAGCTGGCCATGGTGCACGGGATCGGCATTCCCAGCATCTTTGCCGCATGTTGTGCGACACTTGCCTATAAGTTATGCTCCCCACTTGTTTATGTTTGCAGTACTATAACTTAGAAGTACTTGCGATTTTTCCATTGATAGTATTTACTATAAGTTTTCCATTATAGTTGTAGACTTATAGTTGTAGACTATACTAGTTTCTTCTTCCTTTTCATCAGATCATGTCATTACAGCCAGGGGACTACTTTCGTAACACATTTCATATCTTTTTCGGAGCACAATCATTCAAGATGCAAGAAATGAGAATATGACATGAAGACTCTTGATGTTCCTAGTATGTTCGCTCAGCGGAAAGTCTCCAGTAGGGTACTGGGCCGCTTATGAGGGGAAAAAGCGCCACTCGCAACCGGGAGGGTGCGTGGCTTTCTTGCTACTACTTCTAATCAAAGTCGCGTCCGGTTCCTGCTGTACCACCATAGATGACTCGGCGCTAGCTGCAATGACAGGCATCATTGGATGTCCGGTTGCTACGTGTTTCGGACTAAAAGCGCTCCATGAAGAGTTTCTGCACTGTGTGAACGGAGTACGACCTCTTGGGAATCAACGTGGTCCTGGTGGTCAGGATGAGGATGATGGTCCTGGTGTTCATCAACGTCATGAGGCTGATGATGAGGCTGCTCCCCTGGAGGTGCCGGAGAATCAACATGCTCCTGCAGCTCTCGTACGAGTACCTTTAGGAGGAGGAGGACGAGGAGGAGCTGATGAAGAGGAAAACCAAGGCCCGGATCTAGTCGCGGAACCCCAAGGTCCGGAGCCTTTGCCGCATCAAGAAGAGGGAGCACACGGACATGCACCGGAAGCTCTGGAAGACGATGAACCACCGCCATTGGAATTGATCCAAGAAGTGCGGCATTGAAATCCTCTGCAACACGATGAAGGAAGAAGAGGTTGAAGGTGCTATGTGAGGACCGCATGTGCTGTAGGATCATGTCTTTAGAGAATCGGATTTCATCAGCTGAGAGTATGAGAATTCAAAATTCTTTTTAAGAATCTGGTATCCAAGAAATACATCGCTTACGACGTTATTGCAATTAGTGGGATACCATGTCTCATCTCTAGGTCATGGTACATTCAACCGTATTTCTACGGTTCTAACTATGCATTTGCCTAATAGCACTAAATCCTAAACTTTTGTTTGTCGTATCAGACCAAATGAAATATTATGAGACTGAATGTTATGATGTTTTTGGAGTTTTTTCCACTCTTGAAGTGCATATCAGTGAGCTCTAGAAGATGTAAGTTTCATAGATTTTTTTTCCTAGGTAGTTTCTTTTCTGCCGTTGCATTTTTGGAAAAATCAAGCTCATTCGTATTTTTTCAGGCAATATAGTTCGTCTCTTGAGGTGGTTGTGTGAGAGTTCATGCTAAAAGATGTTCTATCAATCTATTGGTCTCATTTATTCTCCTCGCTCTGGTGGTCTAGCACTATTCATCGTGCAGGTGATCTGAATGACCTACTTCTCAGAAGTCTGGTCTATTTTGGAATTGGAACTTTACAGTCCTCAGGTCGTTTGTCGTCCTTTTCTGGGACCGACAATCCGCTCAGTACGGAATAGTTTTCGCTGGTGCTTGTTCGCTTGTCCATTAGTGTCCCCATCTGTCTACAGATCCTGTTTATATGAACGTCGCATCCTCGCGAATTTCTGTTGCTGGTTTTCGTTGTATCTTCATTCATACCCTTGCTCGACCTACCACTTGAAGAGCAAAAACACGATGAGTTTGTAGAAAATGAGGGTCTCCACCAAGTTGAAGACTGCGCTGCAGCGTGCGCTGCGAGACTGTTTGTTTAGTTCTCCAAAAGGAGAGGATGCTAGTATCGGTTTATCAGGTCGTTTAGGTTTACTTCAACCATGGAACAGCAAGAGTGCCGAAACATCATGTCGTAGGTCATTGTGGTCGTCTTGTCCTTCCAGCTCTCCCAGCTGTAGTTCAAGTCGATACTTCAGCACTTCCGAAGCAGCCAGAGCGCCTCCAGTTCACGATGGAGACCAGAGGGAGCATCAGGATCGTGCAAGACCGAATATCTGTGTCTCTACAAGAACTCCAGCACACATCAACAAGCATCCATGGGACAGTATCGAAGAGGGCCTACGCAATGCTATAGAGGAGACCAGGAGAAACGAAAGTGTATTGACTTTGGCTTTGGCTGAAAGACATACTGATAGTTGCACCAGTTGTACATCAACTATTGGTATTCTCCTTGCTGCGAAGCCAGAAGTACGCCGATGGCTGATAAAGGTTGGAGACGATCAGAAGACTCCGACCGAATCAGCTTTCACCAAACTAATTTTTTCGTGTGATCGTTTGGGCCTGCATCGCGGGTTGCTGCTGGCGCTGTCTTGGCGATGTCGTGAGCGTTTGCAGAGGTATTTTGAGGGTGTGTCTGAGAAGAGCCACAGCGCCAGCACGTCTGCTTCCGCTTTAAATGACGATGAAGCAGCGCTAAAAACTTCTTCAAGCGACGTAAAGCGAAAGCAACTTTTAGAAGAAGCAATCTCAGACGCGACGCGTGCTTTGATGCTTGATATCAGAGCCCGGGCTGGTGACTTCGACCTGCTACGCGTGCGGGCTTTGGCTTTCGAGCTCTTAGACTACAAGGAAGAGTCCAAGCGGGACCTAGCTTTGTGGAGACAACTGCGAAGGATAGCTACAGTGGAGAAGAAACGATACGGTGATAGGCGAGGGACATCAGAGCAGAGCCACAAGGAGAAAAGAACGGTAGAAGTTGTGACAGCATCTTCAGCGATTTCAGATAAAGAGAGTTCCACCAACACAGCATGTCTCCTCAATTCTTGGACGAGACATGACTATGCGCAAGTGCCTGAGAAACGGATGATAACGCAGAAGCTCCGGGAAATGTCAGCCAGACGTAGGATTCGCGAACAAGCTGCTCTAGGATAGAAAATTGATCTCAAATGATGACGGTACAGTTTTGATTTTGTCATTGCAGAAAAATCGCCATCAACATCATATTTGCTCTGCCATGTTTGAATACCAGATGGTCTAGCATGCTACATGTCGCAGGACGGTCGCAGCGCCAGCATTCATCATGTTGTGTGGACCGCCGGAAGAGCGGTGAGAGTCGTAACACAGAGAAAAGATGTGGTTTATTTTGTGAGTGTAGGCTGTTTGCCTAGCGGATAACTTCGATATCATTTCATCATTGCTTATGAAAGCGAGTGAGCGACGCGTGGGACTGGGAGAGAACACAAATTAGAAAAGAGATACAAGGAAACATGACCCTCGTCCACGCAATCCACTCTTGTTCTCAAAATATGAAAAACTACCCTGCGATGCTTTTGAGCACGAGTAGGAGCGCTCGGATTCGAGCTTCTGCTTTGTGCGCGCTAGAAGAAAGCAGACCGACGCCTTCGTCACCGAGCTGTCGCTGGAGACCGACTGTAGGACTGAGACTGCACAAAAATGGGATCATCAGCTCGGCGAATCATGCACCTCATCAACAATCACTGCAGCACGCTGGTGCATCTCCACTGAGCGCAACGCTCTTGCGGCAATACGACAACTTTAACTTCTCTCCTCCAACATCTTCTGTGCGCGCCTTTAGTACTCGGAGCATACACGGACGGATGTTTTGGAGGCGACGACCTAGAGACGTCCCTGTCCGGAAGTGGAATTGGATTATGGCTTCCCCCAATCCATCCCTTCTTCTATAGGGATCGATTCCTCAAAGGCAGTATGCGCCCCAATAGATACAAGGGAGATAGCTGAGGACGCATATGCTTGAGGGATTTCCACAGGGATGAATAGGGGAGAGCTCTAATTGGAGAAGTAAATGGCTTGAAGGTCGCCCTCACACGAAGGGGATTTTTATGGTGAGGTTCCTTTGAATATGGTTGCATCTCTCTTCTGGATTCTTAAGTTTAACTTCACCAGACACAAGTAGAATATCCTCTCAAGTTGGGAAAAAGATAATCATGTTGGAGCATACCCCGATGTATACTAGCCTTTTTGTTTCATCTTCTAATCTTCGTACGAAAGTGCCAATTATAGAATCACCCAGATAAACTTTTTATCCTCTAACGTCCGTACCAAAGTGACGATAAAATCGCCAAAGAAACCGAATAGTGGCAACCGTAAAGTTGCTCGAGTCCGGTTAGCATGCGGTCGTACGGTTTGGTGCTATATTCCTGGTATAGGCCACAATCTGCAAACTCACAGTGTGGTCCTAGTGCGTGGCCGGCGAACGCCTGATCTTGTAGGCGTAAACTACAAGCTTGTGAGGGGAAAGTTTGATTTGGTAAATGTTTAGTTACTTTTCGATTTCGAATTTGCGCTCCAATAGGAGGTACTTATTTACTGGGTGACCTCACAGGTAGACATGCACAGCTACAAACGAGGTTCCATGACATGACATGACACATGCTATCTGTTGTAAGGACCCAGCTTCACTGTCAATTCTTGTCTTCCCAAACTCCAGCTCCCCGTCAAAGACAAGAAACGCGCTCGTTCGAAGTATGGTGTGAAGAGACCGATGCTCACGAAGAGGTTCGTGAATGATCCCAAACTGCCTTGGCGAAGGGTTTACACAGACGAAATGCGCGAGCGATACTTCTATCTTATGATGAAGACAAGGAGAACTACAACTGAACCTGAAGATTTGAGAAAGTAGAGCAATGGAATGAGTAGAGTGTATGTTGAGAACGTATATTCTATGTTCACACGGAGTAGAAAAGCAGTCCATCCATGTGTAAAAGCAGTACTTTTGTCGCTTACTAATTTCAATTTGTAGTTTCTTTCCGACGCCTGACGTGATCTGACCTTCCTCCCCAGACACTGCCACATTTTCATATACCGAACCGGCGTCAAGATCGAGGCTGGAGAGCCGGTTCCTTATATTCCGGTACACAGGAAATTTCCGCCGTTTCCGATTCGAGGCTTTGGTCGTAAGAAGGCGAAGGCTTGAACTGCAGTTTGATGATGTGTGTCGAATATGCTGTGGCTCGCCCTCGCACTGCTCCTCTCGGAATGAATGTATCTAGACCACTGTTTATTTTGTAGAACAGACTTGCTACTCAATTCAAGTAAGTACATCAACAGGGAATGTATGACAGCTGTGATCGTCGATGCCTTCCGCTACCTGTGCTGCGGCTTCGCTGTTCTTGTTTACGCCAATACTTTTGATGAGAGGACGGTTATTTTCACCACGACATGTGCTGCTTTTCTGTACGGAATTTTGATATGACGATTCTAGTTTTGAAAGCACTAGAGTAGAAATGGAGTGATTTCTAGCGATGCAAGGAATTGACGGTGTTGCCATTCCCCTAGAAAGCGCACCTCCTGCTTCCACACCTCCTTTTCTTTAGAAATGTAGCACGAAATGTAGGTATTTTGTAGCGAAGTGATGGTTTTACGCTTTCTCTACACAAGTCTGTCGTTGTTTTGCGACGGTCTAGTCAGGTCTTTATCTTGCGAGTATGATTCTGATTGTGCAAAGATATTCCGTCTGAGTTACAACTATATCTCATCTTTCTTGAATCTCGCTAGTTCTCCTAAACTTGAAACCAAATCATGCGCCAAGAAGAGAATCTTTTCGTCTTCTCGAATGCTATTGCTGGTAGCTCCAGCACTAGTAGTCGTTCAAGAAGGACTCCTTTTCGCTGATGCGCTGTGTTGGCGCGCAGAGCCGGGAATCGAGCACGTCTATGCAGCTCATCCGCGGACGACGCTCACGACGCCTCTGGCCCCATGGCTAGTGCCAAATGGCGGCCCGCAGGAATGCTGTCCATCGATGTCGAAGGACCCTGGGGCTGCTGTTATGGTGGGCTGGAACGTGATTTTACAACTAGAACTAGGTTCAATGAATAGTTCTCTGTTTGTTCTACTAAAAAACTGGAAGTTCTTGTTCTTGGCGCCAGTCCTTTATTGTACTAGAACTATAATTCATATTTCCTTCATCTAACCCAGGCACCCCCGCCCGACGCGACTGCTTCGATCACATCGACAGTGCCATCGGGCGTTACAATGCGGAGGAGTTGCTTTCGGACGACGAAGGATCACTACAGGGAGAGGACAAACTACAGAAAGGGAAATTGAACAACAACGATATCGCTTCATCCCTGTCAGAAGAAAACCGAGCGCTACTAAAGGATATGCGAAACAGTTGTTGTCATCCGTACATGCGGAACGTGGATGAGCAACATTTCCGTCATTTTGTGATAGAAGTGCAGCAGGGAGTGCGGGATTATTTGGCGGACTACGTTTTGAGAGTGCGACGAGGAGAAGAACCACTCAGAGTGAAGGAGTCGGATTCTGTTGTAGCAAGTTCCCCTCCGAAACCAGAAGATGATGAAGACACATTGATGCTCAAGGTGAATGCATCTTTAAAGGACCTGGCTGGCCGTGACCAACTTCTTCTACCTCGTGATCTAGACCTCGTCACCCTCGAAGCCTTACAGAAAGTCATCATCGAGCGTTTGTACAGGCATTTTGAGAGAAATACGCTGTCTCCAGAAGGTCGAACGGGGGATGTTTTCGGGTCAAAGTTGCGCATGGCGCTTATCCACCGATGGAAAATGCAGTTTGGAAAGTACTGTACTTTCCTTGTATTTTTTGGGTTTTATCACAGAGAGACATGTTCTTTTTCTCGATTTTTGATTTCTTTTCTTTTTTTCTTAAGCAATTATTTAGCACGACACATACAATGCAGAGCTGGTGCTGTTGCTGCGACGAGTGGGGAGCCTTTGTCAGTTTCGGGCGCAACTGGCGCGTGGGATGGAGCTGCGGCAGCTGGCTATCACATGCATGACGGGCGTTTGTCTGCTGCTATCGTCGATCTCATTCGAAGAAGAATTGAACAAGTCGACACACCGAGTGCAGCATTGACTTTTACGTTTGCGGAGATGATGATAATACGAAGATGATGATGATGAATATGATGGATGCTAAACGAAAACATAGAAGTAACATCATTTCATGTGTTTATAGAGCAGCAGAAGTACTGAAGCTACTGCCTCCAGAGGATCCTCTTCTAGCTCTCCTTTCGACCCTCTTCTAGCTCTAACTCCTCCTTAGACTTCGGTTGCGGCCTAGGCTATTACGTTCGTGACTTGAGGAAAAGTGGCTTGAGTGCTTTTGGTCTTGACGGAAACCCTGCCACAGAGGAAATATCCGAAGGTCGTTGCCGGCTCGCAAACTTCGTAGAACCGTTGTTTTGTAGACTACCACGTCAAGAAGGACCAGAGGCAGTGCGTACTCAGGATGATGGAGTGTACTGCAGACCGCGTGGATCTCACAATGCGACGGACGTAGTTCTATCGTTGGAAGTAGGAGAGCACATACCCCCAGAATTCGAGCGCACCTTTCTGGATAACCTCGCCAAACACGCTCGCTCTCTGCTGATCTTGTCTTGGGGTAATCAACCAGGGACAGGGCATTACAACAACCTGCCGATACCTGCAGTGGTACCTAAAGTTATGCCCAGAAAGCATGCACATGCTTCTTGAATATAATGGTATAAGTAGTACTATCTATGCCACATGATCAAATACCAATATATATATAAGGACAAAAACGACACAACATCTAATAACTTCCTCCGAGCCTTGGAAAGTCAACGAAATACTACAAGATCTGTAAAGGCGCTTCATGGTAGAAGTTCTTTGCAGGAGATGACACCTTGGATGTACGATGCGCGGGAAGCGCGAGCTTTGCGATCAGCAAGCACGTTGCCTTGGTTTGAACATACTCTGATGGTGTTTAGGAGAATGAATGCCGTGGCCTCATGATGACCTCGTTGAATTTCTGAAAGTTCTTGGGTGACCACCTGCTATTCAGTTGTCGCAGGGAGTTCCAGGGCTGAGTCGATTGGATCATCGGGCGAAAGTGTTCATCTTTTTATGGCCACAACCACAATCTGTTGCTGAATCTGTTTCGTCTCGCTTGTAGACCCAGGTCCCCATTTGAGACGCGAATGAATGAATGAAGGGATCTCAGTGATGCCACAAAGTCGGTGCATGATCTTGTTCAATCGGTGCATGGTCTAGGACTCGCACACAAAAGGAGAACGTCATTCGGTGTAAGTAGAGCCCCCCGCGTGGTCGGTTTCCGCTGCGACTCATTGATCCGCTTGAGGCGGGATATTGATTTGTAGTCGGTCCGTATCTTTTCATCTTGAATTTCCATGTCTGTGTGTAGGACCTGGCCTGGATGAAGATCCCAAGGAAAAACCCATTCTTGCCCTCTGGTACATCAAGTGATTCTGAACTACACCAACATGATCATCACGAAGACGTCATTTTTCACATTATAGTCAAGATCCTTCGACACACACTACGTTCGTTCCCGTAGGCTTTTTTTTAGATATTTTCCCCTCGTCATCATCTTTGTGAACCATTTTTGCAAGATGGGAACCGACGATCTTCTGCCACCAGACGAGGTGGAGGACGATGTGGAGGGAGACGGGGAAGATGAAGACGAGGAAAGTCCTCAGAAGGAACAGCAGATCGAAGTGAGACCCCGAAGGAAGAACCTGACGCATGCGCAGTATAGGGAGAAGCTTTTTGGGAATGAAAAAGTGTATGTGGTCATCGGAGACAAACTTCGGCAGGTCAGGTCAGTGCTCGACGCATGGGGATGGGTGGAAAATCAGCCGACGAATCCGGTATTTAATATCTTCCAGATGAAGAATCTTAATAGTGAAGACTCTGATACATTATCATAGAGGACAGGAATTAGACATGTTCATCTACATGAACAATCCCTACCATCCAAGTGTTGTACTTCTTCAATCAAATGGTTGCTTCTATCTTGAGACGATTTAGGTTAAGGTGTGGTCCGTCCGTAGAGAAGTTATATCGTTACCTCAAGTAGAGCATGCTGCTATTATCGTAGATGAAGAATGTTAGTGACTCTGATACATAGAGCACAGGAATTAGACATGTTCATCTACATAATTACAACTCGATGCCTCTCTCTATGATATCAAGAATAGTGTTGATATCCGTTCCATCTTCTACATTACCCCCGCAACATTACAATCTCAGGACGACCGCCTCGTGTTCGATTTTTGTTGGTCCGGTCGTGCTGCTCGTGTAGATGGCCTATTCGGGTATTTACCGCCTGCACAATGCGTAAACCATTTTCGAGGTTCCGGTCAATTTGATAGCAAAGCTGGCATGCTTTTGTCACTCCGGAAATGTGGAAATTACGGAAATGTCGTTGTGGATGTGATACTACTACTAGACTATCAGTATTATCATGGCCATTACTACAATATCTGCACTTCTCTTTACCTACTATCCTTCCTTTTTCTTTTCCTAGTTAGTTTGGCTCCACCCCATAGTATTATCAGTTAGCAGGATACTTCAGGATACTTGTTGCTAGTTACCCTTTTCTCTTTTCTATCTATTCCTCTGGTCTGTCTTTTTTCTAGTTAGGTCGGCTCCACCACAAGTATTATCAATATCAGTTCTCTTATACTGGCTGTAGTCTTACTGGTGGAGGTCTTTTGGCTACTAACTTGTTCAGCGGCGCGTGCAGCTGGATTTGCACTTGCAGTTTGGATGAGGTTCTTTGGGTTAGCACTTGAAAGTTGTAGTTATGAGCCTGCTTCTCCAAAATCTATGACTTATTCATCTACGTAGCTAGTGTGATAATTTTCATCTTCTGCCAAAACTACTACGACTACATAACCACCAGAAGCCACCTCTAATCTCAAGGTTGCCTGCACGAATTTTACCCGCCTTCGTATGACCTGCGGAGTTCTGCGGAGCTAGAGGCGTTTTTTTGCGATGCTTTTTTCCATCGCATAGTCTCACAACGGCACACTAAAGCCGGCCGATCCGTCTTACGAAGGCTACTAGAAAAACGACAGAGACTTTTGGCATCTACTCTGAAGGATGTCGCAGACAAAGCAGAGGCCGCCAAAAGGAAGAAATCTCCAAGACGGTTGAGCAGTACATTGGGGTCTCCGAGTAAGAACACTGCTGCGGATGGTACGTCGAATGCTGCTAGTGGGAGTGGCGAAACGACTGGGAATGCCGAGAATGATAACAACACTGCCAGCACGACTGGTGCTGAGACAACTCCCGCCGCTGGTGATGCACCAGATGCTACAGGAGCACAACTTCAGGCTGTGCGTCCCAGACCTGTCATACCAGTGGATGGAAGCATGGAAGAACAGAGGGAAGTCGCGAGAGCTCTGGTCAGTGAGCTCTTGTATGGCTTCTCGGAGTTGGACCACAACGTTGAAGAAACTACTGCGGGAGATCATGACAACGTCAATGGTACAACTTCGTCAACGACGGAAAAGAAGCCGCTTCTTCCGACCCTCGTACCCTTTGGAGAGGGTGTCAATCCACGTGCAGTGAATGGCATCGAGGCTTGTGTCCACGAGTATTGTTCTTTGTTCGAACAGGCGCAGAGGGGTCCAGTCGATGACATTCCAACCTACTTGGAAGCCACTGCGCGACCATGGATGACCACGTACCTGGAAAGCTGCATCAGTTATGGATAGACGGGATTTCGTTGAGTACTAACGCCACCGTAGAAGCAACGGATCACCACCTTCACAGCTTTTTCAACATGATCAGCGGAATCCGTAGAACTCAGAAGAGACTCAGGGAGTTTGTAGGTCCAATCCGAACTACCGACTAACATCATCAATCTCTGTAAGAGAACACTAAAAAGAGCCTCCTCCCACCTCTAATTGCGCCGTTGCAGTTGCTGTGTCACGGAGCATCAGCTTAGGATCGAGCAAAGCACTAGTGGACGAGTCTGCGTCTTCGGCAAGGCGATTCCGCCAGTGGACCGGAACGGTAACCCGATGCCAGGATACAAAGAAGTCGCTCTCAGTAACGCCAAACAGAACAACAGCGCTTCTGGCCAGCAGGAGAAAGAAACACCAGTGGACGACTATTCTTCCCCACGCACATCACCCAAACGTGGCAGCGTTGCCAGTGTCGTTAGCGCATTGACCGAAGCAGCCAGTGGGAATAGCAATTAAGGCTCAATGCAATTCATTACTACAACGAGTCGTTTCTCGCCATTTCCTTCTCAGAGTTGGGAGAAATGAAGGCAAGAAATGAATTGAAATTGTTTTGAGCTCTAAAGTAGTGTAGTTGTCCCTGGTATGACTTTCGGGAGTAGCCCGAAAGCTCATGGCAGGCAATCCGTTTCGCGCGGTGCCGCGTCGCCCACAGAAAAGCGGTCTTCACTAGTGAAGAAAGCAAGGGAGTCGCTCTTGTATAGGGAGAAAGACGATTTTGTCCGGAAAGTCTGCGAGACCATGCATGCTGGTTGTGAGCAGGGAACAGTTATGAAAGTTATCTCTAAAAAGACCGTTGTAGAGATGGTTTTGTTTCTTTGCTAGAAAAAAATTTCAATTTGGATATTGACTGGAATCTACTTCTGCTCAATGAATACTAGTAGAGATCAAAGTTAGCACAACGTCGATTACACAACTGCAAGTGCATCACGACTCTAATACCAACGCTAACTCCAAGTCGAAGACCAAAGGCGATTCGTCAGAGCAAGGTTTGAATCAGAGCAGCACAACACTCGGGTCTGGGGATGATCTGACCTCGACAGGCAGTATTGTAGCTGTCAGTAGTCCTCGTCGACGCAGCAGCACCACTACCGGAGGAAAATCAGGCTCGTCAAAATCTCCGCAACGTAAGAAAAAGTCCAAGCACAAAAAGAAAAAGAAGTCGAAAAGTCCGAGTAGAAGTAGCACAAAGTCACGCAGTTCCAAAAGCAAGAACAAGGGGCAGGATGACGGTGCAAGTAGTACTGCTGGCAACCCTCAGGATGTGGATGATGCTGCTTCGTTGCTGGACGAGTCTGAAGGATCGTTGTCATCAGAAGACGAGGCGCAAGAGACCGATGTCGAAACAGTGGCCTCTGGAGTCTCAGATTCGTCGAAGCGCAAGCTTGGGGAAGAAGAAGATGGTGAGAACAAGAATAGGGAAGTGGCGGAACAACCTGGTGCAGGGAATCATGCTAATGTTAAGACTTCTAGTTTCTAGAACTCCTGCACGTGTAGTCGCGTTTTCAGATGAGACTTTCTCAAACTGCACCACATCTTGCAGGAAAGTCATGATGAACCGACTAGTTTTTATGAGCCGCTCTAAGAATGTCCTCGACCTCGCAGCCAGTAGTGACGACAACGAGGACGAGGACATCGACGCTGTGACCGAAGCAGGCAGTGACGTAGAGAACGAGTATGAGGAGTACACACTCCCTTCTCCGTTGTTAGAGGATATGAAGCTAGGAGAATTAGTAGCTGGACCTGAATCAACGGCTAGCGGAGGCTCCTCAACTTTAGACAACACTCTGAGCAGTTGTTGTGGTGACGACATAGTACGTTCTTCTTCTTTGGTATCATCATCTTCGGGAGTACTAGGTGGGACAGTAGAATCGCCTACGAGTCGCGCTGCTGGTGGAGATAAGAAGCAGAACAACAACAAAGTGGTAAGTAGTCCTTCGTCAAAGAGTACAACTAAAAAGGCCAATGGAACTTCATCAACTTCATCTTCGGCTGATTCTATTTTTCCTTTTGCAGCTAGCAATGAAACTGAGGAAAAAAGGCAGAAAGAATACGAAGCAACCTGGAAACAGGATGACGAGAAGGAAGAGAAGGGGAGACAATACCGTTTCATCGAACATATCAAGGACATCTTCAAGTACAACGCATCGCAGGTGGTGGCGGACTCAGATAGGATAGACCAACTCTACGACTACTGGTGCGCACACGACGAGCGGATCGAGGCGCTGCGTTACTCGAAGGCGTTGTGGTCTAAAGGATTTCTGGCTCCGGAAACCTACTGCGCAAACATGGCAAGTGGGAGCGTACTCGCCTATTTTTTTTGAGTTGGTTATCGGCTTATAGTTCTTTGATGATGTAGTGCGAGATAATCATAAAATTTACTCAAAAAGTAGAAAATTGCAGTCTTATTTTCTAGTGGAAGATGTTGAAAATGATAGAATCTTCTTGATCAGTGTCCTCTCTACTTCGCAGTCACCAATTTAATAGAATATCCCCACGACAATGACCAGCAGTCTGCAGACGACGAGAGACGTCGGCGAACCGAGGCAGCACGTCAGCGATCGGAGTACAATGCACGACTGGGAGTACTCGACAATGAGTACACAGAAGAAGACGCCTATCTGGATCTGCTCCTGGATCAGATGCCACGATCTTTCCACACATTTTACGGCGATGCTGCAGCCTATATCTTCAAGTCACCACATTTGTCGCGAGGTCGCGGGTTAAAGGTCATGACCTGTCGAGGAAAGCTCAGGCCGATGTTGGAAGAAGCGTACTTAATACAATTGTTGTTACATGATCAATTGTGAAGATTTTTCCTCCTTAGCAAGCGGCAGAACAACTAGAAGATCAACTAACAGCAAGCGCCAACTTGTACGAGAAGCTCTTCAAGTTGTACAGGGCCAGTAAAGTAGCTCTACCTACTTATAAATCTTTTCATGTACTACTACATGGATGTGGTGCTTGTGATTTCGAGACTCTCGTTCCATGTCGGACTCGTAGGCTTCGATCAAATTCTGAAATGACAAACAGGTACTCCCGTTCCGCTCTCAACCAACGATGGTTCTGCATCGTCCAGAAGTATCTGGAGAAGCCGTTTCTGTGCGATTACAAGGGCCATTGCGTAAAGTGTGACTTGCGTCTCTGGGTCGCCTGTCTCAATTGGAATCCATTGGTGGCGATAGTCCAGCACCAACCTTACTTTCGTTTGGCAACGAAACCGTTTGGATTTTCGAGATGGCGACAGGATCAGAGAGCGCACTTGACCAACAGGACGATTCAGGAGGGGAATGGAGAGGTAGTTCTTGAACTTGTTGACTTGGTTGTTTGAGTGCTACAATATTTATACATAGGCTCATGATTCGGACGCGCTTTTCTATTTTTTATTGTTGACTACGTACTCAACCTCAAGCTCAACGAACAAGTTGGTAGCTATCGGCACGTACGTAGTCCAGCAACTTTAACCCCGAAGTAAATGTCCACCAGGTCCGCGTCTCCGAAGAAGACGACCCTGATTACCAGTTAGTTTTCGACGACTTTATGGCTTACCTCGAAAAGAACTATGGTCGCAGTTGGGTGGAGCGGTGGGAGAAATTCACGTGGCCATTGATGTTAGATGCAACGCGTTGTGCACTCCTTGCCAGTCAAGACGCCGTCGTACATGCGCATTACACCTATACGAAGAAGGCAGCGACGCGACTGGCATCGGTAGGTCGTAATTTGCAGGATGGTCCAAAAGCTTTCGAGTTGTACGGGATCGATTTCTCCTTGGATTACGAGCTGCGTCCTTGGTTGCTGGAAGCCAATTGTGGTCCAGATCTTCTAGGCCACTCTGGGCCTATGTTGAAACAGCAAGCGCGAACAGCCTTAGACGAGTTGTTTACGATCGTACTCAAGGAGCCACGCAGTGTCCCGGTAAACGCCATTCCTCATGTTAAGGCATACCTAACCCTAAACCCTAAGGTTTACTCTTTAAGCCATCTTGGGAAGCATCCTGGAGAGGCTTTTCTTGGTTTAGCCATCTTGGGAAGCATCCTGGAGAGGCTTTTCTTCAAGGAGAAAAGGGGAACAACAGAATCATCATCATGGATGTATTGGATGAGCTCTAACACTGGCGCCGTAGCGCCTAACGTCACCAGGCAGAAAGTCTGCTGTGACGATCCCAATTGCTTCACGAGACACGGCGTCCAACTGGTGCCGCCAGCGTTGGTCACGGGATGGCAAGTCGGAGACAAGAAATGGAGTTGGTTTTTGAAGGCACCGCGCATGGAACCAGAGGTGCTGGCAGACCAGTTTGCCAGACGAAAGGCAGAGGAATGGTCGAAGCGGGCGCCTTATGCGACGAAGAAGTCGGCGACGAACGTTATGGACGAGGGAGATTTAGTTTTCAGATTTGGAACAGCAACAAAAATTATAGTGGTGGTCAATTGCAATGTTGAGACTGCAACACATTTTTCTAAGTGTAGCGGTGGAGCAGTTTTGGGACACGAAGCGGTCATTCGTAAGCTGCTTTTGGACACGCCGTTTGTGAAGGAGACTCCTGTCGAAAAGAGTCCGTCACCTAAGGGCAAGAAAACGTTTTCTACTTCGCGAAGTCGGACAAGCCTACTAGCTGCAGGGTTGTTTGGACGAGCTGGCAGTTCGACACTAGCCGCTGCTGCAGCTGGTCAGAAAGCAGAAAGCAATAGGGGAAGTCTGGTGAGAAGTGAGAGTACTACTAATGGTGCCGTGGCAGGAGAGGCTGCTCAACAGGAAGGAGCTTCCGCTGCAGGAGATGGTGCAAATAACCAAGCGGAAACACAGGAGAATCTACTAGAACATCAAGGCGTTGAGAGACCAAGTCCTCAGCAACTCCGTAGCGAACTTCTCTCTGGGATCCAGGAGGCGAGTAGTTATGCTGGTGAAGTTCTACGTGCATCGAAAGAGAGAATGCGCCTTTTAAGCGATCATCTCGCAGTAGAGGAAGTAGCTACGCAACACAGCATGTCTGTCTACAACAACTTCTCTCAGGCGCATGGGTACAGCGCTAGGAGCAACATGAACATGATCGTTGGCTCGCCTGTCGTGATGTCACAGCAGCACCAACTACTCAGTAGTGCTGGTAATCTACATCATGGATCAGTGGTCACGGCAAACGCTGGATCAACATCTCCTGTCCAACAACAACATCAAGGATCGTCCTCGTCTTCTACGATCTACAACTGGAAAAAGGGAGGATTCGACGAGCCGCCTAGTGGTTGGCTAGTACATGATAAGGATCTACGGGAAAGATATCGTCATTTGTTCCCGCAGACCGACCACATGGCAGGGGATGCAACATCTTCAAGCCCAGCAGGTGGACATCTTCAAGGTACAACTAGTCCCCATGGAAAACAAGGTAGTGGAGCAGATGGTGCAGTCCGACAACTCTACACGAAGGCTGCTCAAGGAGCTAGCGACCGATTCGGTATGATCGAACCAGCGGCATTGCTACAGGCTCACGGCAGTGTCGTGGAACAACAACAGGTAGCTAGAATGACGGAGAACAATGGAGGCGCTCTCAGTGCGTCTTCCTCTTCTGTGAGTACTGGCGTGAGTGCGTCCCCTTCTTTGCCGGTTGGTGTGAACAATCTCGTGGCCGCAGGTCAGAACGGACAGCCGGCGCATCAATTAAACGTAAATATGGCCGGAGGTTGGCACATGCAAGACCCAAAGCGGGACATCAGACAGAGGCTGGTAGAGCAAAAGCACTACGATGCTGGGATAGCTAGACTCTACAATTCTAGCTCGGCTGCTGCACGTGGAAATAAGCAAGCTGGACGAACAGAACGACATCAACGGGGAAGTCCCTCAGGAGCAAGTGGGAAGAAGAATCGAGCTGGAACAGGACTCTTCAACGAAATCATGGAGAGAAATGAACAACAGAGCCATACTAGTGTGGGCTCTCCTTCCATGGACAATCCTGAGACGACTCCTGTGCTTTTTGATGTCAGTGTCTTTACCGGCAGCCCAGTCACATCGCCTGTGGTGGAGTTCCTTGGCAGTAGTCCTTTAAGTGGTCCCGGTTGCGATTTTAACGGAGGTTCGCCGCACAGGATGGCCTCACTAATCGCCAACCTGCCTGATGACGTGAATAATGTGAATGTCGGCGTCGCTGGTTCTCCGTCTCGCACGAACTCTTTCACAGCGCCAGGCTCTGCTTGGGCGCCAATTGCTGCAACAGATGAACATGGTGCGACTGCAACTTCGCACTACTCGTCTGGAATCCAGATGATGTCCTCGCACTCACCACACCAACATGCGGCCTACAACAGCAACTATGCTAGTAACGGACGGGGCGCTGCAGGACCGACTAGCAAAAATGTTAGAAGTCCCTCTCATGGTTCTCAACATCCTAATCAACATGTTATCAAAGGTTCTCCTGCCTCCGGAGCACAACATCAACAACAAGGTGCTTTAGGGACTATCATGGTGACCAACGCGGCGTCGTCCTCTAGTGTTCGAGAGTCGGGGTTTACGATTTTGCCTAAGGTTGATCAAACTTCTCCCAGACGCTCTCCCTTGTGGAAAAAAGCACCGAAGAAGAGCACGAGTGGCGTTCTGCCAACTTGGAAAGGCTATAACCAGGGACAACATCTTCAAGGTGGTAGCGAGGAGCACCAGGAGATGGTGAAACGTGAACCGTATCGAGATCATCAGATGGTGACAAACTATCAGCAAGGCAACCATACCAATGCGAGCATCAACACGGCATCTAGTCAGCAATACCTTCAACAACAAGGTGGAAATTCACATATGTATTCCCCGTCTGCTGCGCGCAAGAAGGCAGATGCATGGACACCGATTTTGATGCTCGGAGGAGCCCGTGGTAACGACGGTCAACAAATGAGAAGTCCCCCTCGTGCGGCAGTGGCGTCACCGTTGCAACGTGCTGGGCACATCGGTGCGCTGGTCGCTAGTAGTAACTCTTCTGCTCCTGGTGCTTCGCCTGCAAGTGGCGCTGCACCGCTTAGCGTGTTTGTGGAACAGCAGCAAAGGCAACTCGTGGTTATGGCGAAGGCTTAGACTTACTTTGATTATTAGTTTGCACTTATGTTTGAAGTAGTCTTCTATTCTCTACCTTCTGAGCTTCAGCGTGATGAAGATGGTACTTACAACGGCTGTTGCTCTCTCTTGTTTGTTGATTTGCGATGATTATAATTTGATGCAGTTAGAAGTTTCTTTCTAGTGAGTGACTGAGAAGCGCTACATCAACCTCTTCTAACCTGCAACAGCAGCAGCATCATCATGCCAGTTCCACGACTGGCAGTCCCCGTGCATCACGCTCTATGCTCCAACAAGGCAGCTCTAATCATGAAGATCTCAACAGGCAAGGAGCGACGAGGTCGCCTGCCAGTCCCATAGTGAATAAGAAGAGCCGAAGCAAGATCGTTATTGATTGCCAGCAGCAAACGTCGATGGAGAGTGGAAGCAAGGAGGCTGTTGAGGTGAACATGGCAGGATCGTCGGTGCTTTCGCCGTCGGGGAAAAAGACACGCAGCCGCAGACATTATGGCATCACTTAGGCTGTGTTGAAGTCGAAAGACATAAGAATACAACTTGTCCTTCTAAGTACCTCTGGTACTCGTGTATTCCAAGTATGTCGGCTATGCCTGCTAGATCCTTGAGGTTCTCTTTTTCCTTAGACATGATGAATTTGCGACTCCAGGATCGTGCTTTTCTCCATGTCTTAAGGATAGCAATTATCCTTCTTCTTCTAACCAATCGGAGCTTTGAAGGAATCGGGTGAGCATCCTCAGAAGAGTCCGACTGATCGGACCGAACAGCGAGAAATTTTGCACTTAGCCGCAACTTCCACACCCAGAACCTTCAGGGATAAGATTCTGCGGAGGACGGTTGACAAGCAGCGCCGACAAGTCTATGAGGTGCCTGAAGACTGCACTAATATCGCGGAGTTGAGTGAAGCTGTCTTTTGATACTATGTATATCGTGATAAAACGAAGGCATCAGGACGAATACGGGGATCGAGAGTACTTTAATGGAGAGGACAGCGACAGCGATTATCGTCCGTTAATACCGTTAGATCTTCATCTGTTTGCTCTATCCTTGGTGGTATTTCCTGTACAAGAGCCATATAATGTTGTTGTTAGATAATCGATTAGCATTCCATAGTATGAAGTATTTGTTGTATGTGAACAGTATGAACAGTCTAGCAGACGTATTTGGTTGTCGTTTTTGCACAGTAATTCATCAGTATCAGTAGTTGCTAGCGAAAGCGAGCATATTAAAGGTTCTGACTGTTACAAGAAGGTGAATGTCTCCTAATGTCGACTGAATGAAGTAAGTGTCGATAGAGTCGCGAGTAGTAACACATTCGCAAGTATATGATTGAGTTTGAGAGGTATTTTTAGTCTTACAGTTAGAGAAAAGTCATTCATCATCGGCATTCCTATAGCTTCAGTAGTGTATATTCAACATAATTAGGAGAGAATTTTTCCATTTTGTAACTCTTGGTATTATGATCATCTATCGTCAAGTACAAGGCAATGCATAAGCCGAAATTATCCGAAGTATAAGGAGTATCATCATTCACAGTAAAAAAGTTGATGAAGTAGAGTAAATCTCTCTAGGAGACTACAGGTGGAGGTTGATAATGAGTTACCACTTCTAGGATATAGAATATCACTCACATGTTCTGAGATATAGAAATTGTAGATTGGAGAAAAACTTGAAAGGCTCACGCTAGGCTTTACGCTTCCTCTCACCATCCTTTTTGGATCTTTTCAGGACTCTTTTCTTTAGTCTTGACCATGGTTGAGGATAACGTTAAAGAAGTTTTATAGTACTACCCATTTTTGTTCTTGTACCTGTAAGATACGTCCATTGGAAGAGGATCAATTTCAAGAAGTACATAGAAGTAGTTGAATAGCGGTAGTGAAAAACTGTAGAGGACAGAAAGAATGAATGAAAGAATGAAATAATCATGTCTCTGCGTACACCTCACAACTGTATCTATGTGAGTAGACCTCTTAGCGAGTTCTGCCAGTGGAGACCGTGCTGTGTTCGAGGTTACCGTGGTGCGCCAATATTCTCTGGTAAGAAGATCATGCTGGTTTGCGAGAGAGGAAGAGTAGCTTGCTTGTTCATCATGAAGCGAGAGTTGCTTGCAAATAATATCAAGAATGACTGACTTCTAAAATTTTGCCGTGTCTTTGACCGAGAGACGACGATCCTTTAACCGAGAGACGACGATCTTATCCGTTAACCGAGAGACGACGATCCTTTGACGTGATGCATTCATGTCACTGATGAAGACCAACACTCAATATGAATATTTCGAATCTCCACGTCCATCAACACTTTAGAGGCGCGCGTCATTTGATTGAGACTCAATCAAGACGAGCGAAAAATCGATTTTCAACTTTCTAACACTCTAACAAGAACAAGATGTTGCACCCTCAGAGGCTTCATCACGGCCCTTAACAAGCTTCATCACTTTGGAGATATTTTTGGAGACAAGGACTTGCTTTCCAGTGGTTAGTAAGAAACTTGACAGGAGGAGGAGCTTCGGCTCCCTCTCGGGACCATAAGCGGGGAGTCGCTATTGCAGAAACGTGATCATTTGCTTCCTTGCTACAACCTGGAGTTGTACTATTCATCAAGAAGGTTCTACTGCTTTTTGTGAGGTGGCTGAATCGTTTTTTTGGACGAAACTAACAGCGTCCTCTAGCTGCGTCGTCTTCCAAGTCCTTTTGGAGTTGGACCTCTCCGGTATCTCGACTACTCTCAGTGGTCCACCTTCACCATGGAGAACGCAGAAGGATCAAGAGGGGGACCCGGAGATCCCTATGCAGCGCAAGCTACTCTCCGACCCTTGCGCGAGAGATCGCCTAAACGGACAAGTAAAGATTACGACTTCTTCTACTTCTACAAGATTTCTTGAGTGACGACTTCTCGCTCGAAAAATATCCAACTTCCTCGTCCAGTTGGTAAATAAGAATGCAGTTGCAAAAATTGTTGAGCAAGCGCGAGCTGCTAGAAAGTCGTGATCTAATATCAGTGTTACACCTCTAGATGAACGACAGGTAAATGAATGAATCGAGTACAACTTTGCTCCCCTGATACCGGCTCCCCTCGGAGATCTCACATCCCACATCACTATCAGAAAAGCCTTCATCTAAGTTGAAAAACGGAAAGCTCAGAAGTTGAAGCGTATTTTGTCGCCCAGTGACTATGCGGTGCCAGACCACTTGCTTCCTCCGTTTTCTGGGTACCGCGACGCAGAAGGTAATCGTATTGAGACTCCACCTCGCATCAGAAAGCGCAGAAAGTATAAGGAGAAGCAGCGGAAAAAGTTGGAGGCGGCGAAAAATAGAGGAGGAGAGTTAAGAATCTTAAGAATCAACGCAAGACCTTGGTAACAAGTCCACCTTTAGTAAAAAGTTATCTGGCTTGAAGAGCTCAACAACAAAGAAGGAACTCTGATAGGTGAACAGGCCAACGCCTAGGCCTAAGCCACTTCTGATTTAGAGGCCTTAAAGAGCGACGAGATCGCTTTTTCGAATTTTCGTACTACAGAAGAAACTCATCATCATCATCATCATAATCTTCATCATGATGACATAATCATCATCATCATCATAATTATCATAATCATCATCGTCTAATGAAACAAAGCGCAAACAATATTAGCAGCAAGGGAAGAACTACTCCTGTAGCCTCTTCCCCAGAGCCTGTATCCTCTTCGTCTGAGGTCGCTTCTTCTTCTCGTGTTTCAGCTACGTCTGTCACGAACTACCAGGACAACTACGAGGAAACGCAAGGCTTGCGTCGTCGTACACCGGTCGACGATTCTGATGATGGGTCTTATGGATGATGTTTCTTCTCCCATCTTTATTAACAGACCATGGAGATCGAGCTCATAGCCTACACGTTTACTTTTAAGGGGAAGTTTAGGGTCTAGTACTCAGTAGCCTCGATGGTCTGCCTCGAAGATGGAAAAAATATCATCCATATGTCTGAGGCGAGTACGAGTAGTTCTGGGTCGTCCGCCTTACCAGAAGGCGTTTCTTGGCAGCCACCGCCTAAGAGCGGACAACCTGGAGGAAAACATCAACAGTTTTTCTACTATTAAGGCTAGATTATAACTATCGGATGTGCTGAGTGGAGTCTATTAAGTAGTTTTTTGGCTATCGGATAGTAATAGTATCCCCTCTGGATAATTAGTTATGCTGAGTGGAGTCCCCCTTGATTTAAAGGGGAAACTAAGGGGGACACAAGGCACGCAACTGAACCAGGCCTGGTGAAAAACAAGGGCTAAGACAATGGAGAGGAAGATGGACAGACGGATGGACAGACGGATGCAGAGACGTACGCGACAGACGCGATGCACGCTGGCTTCAACGAAGACGATGCTGGCCTGAACGAAGACGCTGGAAAAAGTTGGTTGTCGGAGAATATGACGCTGGTCGTAGGCGGATCCGTAGGTGGGTTGGTCCTTCTGATTGGTATCCTCTTATGACAACAAGGATCATCTTAACTGACCCATAGGACCCATGATGAAGAGAACTAGGGTAGAAGACGAATTTATCTATCATCGATCTACTTCGTTTCGTGTAATGTATTTGAATTCGTTAGATAATTACCTTTATTATGATGGATCCATTCTCTGAAGTGCACCGTTGACGCATAATATTAAGGGTAGGTTAAAGGTGCTTTTGTTACCGTTTGTTATGGCTCTCCTAAGGGGGACAGCCATGACAAGCGGGATAAACGAACGCCAAAAACCTACCGCTAATAATAATGTGCCTCAGAAGAGGCTCTAATCATCTTAGTATACTAATCTTGCTATAATAGATTCCCCTCAGACTACTTCCTCTAATCTTAGTATGCTGCTTTTGCTGCCTCTCTGGGTCGGGTGCTGCTTCGGGTGCAACTACTGCGCAAACGCCAGGAAGTACATCATCGGTCGCTTTTGGGAAGGTTAAGGCCCCTGAGTGAGTACTCATATTATTACAACTATAGTTATTCATCTCTGTAGTGTTAGACTACTGTTACCTCTTCATCAAGTCGAGCATGCTACTATTTATCTCTTGTAACTAAGCAGGTGAAGGTGTACTATCTTTGATCAAAGGACATCTTCTGGGGAACATCGATAAAATATATCTCTTGTAAGGTGTGCGCGTCTTTGAAGAGGTGTGCGCGTCGTATTGTTTTCAAGGAGTCGAAGTCCGTGAAAAAGGATGTCATTTTCTAGATCATGTCACTTTTTTTTCGAATAATCTTGGGATCGTCTAATGAGAGTCAGCCCACGCTCACTGGTGCGAGCAACAACCTGAGAGAGGGCTTGCCCGGCGGAACTTAAGGCTTCACCCACTATTAATCTATCTCCTCTTTGTTGTCTTGGAAAGAAGAAGAAGAAGATATGTCCACCTCCGAATGCAACTGTACGCAAAGAATACAAGGGAGATAATACTATTACTAGTCCATTACGCAATGTAGTTACTAGTGTGAGTACTACAATCTAGTGCACTCATCATCATCAATATAAGGGACGAGACAATACTATTACTGAGGGACACCCAGGGAGACAATGCCTACAACAGGAATCAGAACTTGGGGTAAGCTCTAAGGAAGTGGCAAAGACAACGCCAAGGAGAATGGTGGTGGCGGTGGTGGTGGCGGTGGTGGTGGTGGCGGTGGCGGTGGCGCCCGTGGCGGTGGCGACGGCAAAACTCGACTCTTAAGGCCAAAGAGAAAACTATTTTTATACATCCTGAACGAGCCGCAACATAATGCTTGGGCCTTTGTTCAGCTGGGTTCCTAAGTGCCTGTTCTTCCTGCGGTGGCTTATCTTCGTCCTCGTTGAAAAGATTTTATCTACTAGAAAAAATAAGACGACTCGCCCCTTTTTCTATGAAAAACATGCTAGAGCAGCATCAAGTACGTAGAACGAACGTGAGGAAAGCACCCCTTTTTTTTTTACTGGGTGTCAATGCGATAGGTCTAAGAAGGCCGACACCGGAGGAGGTGGCAGCTGAACTCCAAAAAGCCACACCGGTTGATTTCATTACGAGCGGAACTGAAGCAAGAACTCGTCTAGAACTGTTTATAGATACCAGCAACTCTGGAACCACATCAACAACTGTTTTGTAACCAGGTAGTGCAGTCTGTTGCTGATCATCTGACGATCAGAAGATGAGTCGAATCACGGTACTAGTGGTGGATGTGGAAGCTTTTTTACTACCGTGAAAAAGCCTGTATAAGTAATTGAGCTCCCTAAAAAGCTCGTAATCAAAACAACCGGTTAGTTTTTACCTCTAAACCTTAGGTTTATCCCAATCATGATCCTGTAAAATGTATCAAAAAGAGTACCAGCAATCGGCTCACTGATTGCCAAGCAGACACGTTACTAACCTACATTGGAGCACGACACAACACAGACCACTGTCATTATTCGTTCCTACAACATGACGCCGGACTGACTACAACAATTGCATAACTGCACAACATCCCTACAACATAACGGCTACTAGAAGATGACTACAAGAAGATGTTGACTACTTCGATTCTAGGGCTTGGTTGTCGATCTCTACTGCCTAGAACATGTTGATGGACTTTCGTCACTCTAATCACGGTACTGGCGTTGGAACCGAAGAGTTCCTAAAAACGGAACCAGTTGCGGAAATCATGAAGAAATGTAGAGAAGGGAAAGGTGGCATAGTGGTGGATGTGAAACCACCTCTTAAGGCTTACTGATGTTGTATCTACTATTTGTTCTAGCTTGTGTTTACGATCGTGACGTTTACAAACTTTAGAACACGACTAGACAAAAAGTGGAGGAAAGCGAAAGGGCCTAATAAATAAATCCAAATCGTACTAGTAATATCATGTAAAAACTCATTCTCATTCTCTAACGTGAAAGGTTTGCTCGAAACGAAGAAAGTGAGAATTAACGTGATAGACGATGGAGTAAGTGTCACGGAGGTTCGTGCCAAGCTGACAGAGGCTGC